TTCACAGCAGATACTGGCTGCAGACTGAGCCAACACGGGGCGCCTGCTCCCGGTACCCTGCTGCATCTCTACAACAGCCATGAGGCAGGGGAAGTCAGTCCCTCCAAAATGGCTTTACAGTAAGGACTGTGCTGCTGCAGGTAGAGCATAAAACAAGGAAACACTAGCTTTAAAAGTAGCCCTCACCCAGCTCTGAACAGAGGCGCCCATCTACCCGTCCAACTGTGATGTTGTGATACGGTGTTTGGTCTTCATCCCCAATTCCTAGTACACAGCTTCTAAAACCCTCGTAACTTCCCGAGTGATGGGGTGATAAGAGCGTCTTTTGTTATATTTGAGTCTGTCCCCGGTCTGTCCTCTGAGCCTGGCTCAGAGGGTTTAGAGAGCTCCTGGGTTGGTGGCTGCATCCACGTGCAGGGAGGGCGGTGCACCCAACTCCACGGGACAGGAGCTCCTGCACTTGCGACCCTCTGGACCTCGCCCTACGTACCTCTTCACCTGGCTGTTTATTTGTATCCTTTATAATCAATCAGTAATAGTCAACAGCGTGCTTCATTGGGTTCTGTGAGCAGTGACAGCAAATTACTAACATTGAGGAGTGGGTTGTGGGAATCCCTGATTTGTTGCTAAGTCGGACTGACGTGAGAACCCGCTGCTTCCTGCTGGCACCCGAAGTGAAGGGCAGCCTTGTGGGACTGAGCCCTTCATCTGTAGGGGCTTCGGTAACTCTGGTAGCTAGTGTCAAGAGGAATTCAACTGCAGAGTACCCAGCTGGTACCTGCAGAGCACTGGAGAATCGCTTGGTGTGGAAGACCCACCCATCTGGTGTGAGCACAGAGTTTTCCTTTCCCAAGCATCCATTCAAAAGCGCTTTTGAGTGACCTCCAGGGCCAGGCATTATTTTGAGCAGAGGGGTTACAGCAGTGACCCAAACAGAAAGTCTCTGCTACCTTGTGATGCTTTGCTCTAGTTAGCGAAGACAGACAATAAATAAATTAACCAATGATTAAGATGCCACGAGATCACAAATGCTAAGAGGAACAGTTAAGCATGGTAGGTGGGGAGACAGTGATGGAACATATCATTTCATATGAGGTAGTGAGGAAAGGTGTCTCTCCTAAAATGACATTTGACCAGAGACTTGGTGAAACTGAAGGAGGGAGCCATGTGGATATCTGGGGATGGAGGGCAACATAGGCTGAGCCAGCGCCAAGTGTAAAGACTCTGAGGACGGTCCTTGGTGCCGCGGGACCATCCCACTGCATCTGGCCACTCCATTCACTCTCCCACACGACTCTTCCACGTCGTCTCCTCCCTTAGCAAATCTCCAACACCTCCTTGCCTTTTCTTGTCCTCCACCCCTGACCTTACTTGCCACTTCACTGCGAAAACATAATCAAGGAGAACTTAACAACTCCTAAAGTTGCTCAGGTTTTTGTCCTACTCAGTACATAAAGCCTGGTCACCCCAGTGTTGAAGCAATGCCTGTTGTTTGTAAAATGCACAACCTAAACAGACAAAAAGTGTTATACACTGTGCATGTGATTTACGGTCATGCAATGTAGAATTATTGATTGATGTTGTGCGCTGATACCACTGAACCCACTGGGACAGCCCAGTTAGCTCAAAGGGAAGCATCTAACTTTCAAGTTGAGGTTGGGGTCTCTTTCACTATTTCTGTAGCTTGACTATTCCAAAATGTGGAACCAACTAAAGCTCACACGTCTGTGGGTCTAAGACCGGGGACAAACTTGCAATAGTGTGATGCTATGATCTTAACCCGCGGGAAAATGTTACGGCACGGAGACGGGAAGGAGCGGGAGGAGGGTGCTCGTCTAGTTCTTTAGTTCCAAGCTGAAACAGTGTCCCGGAGATTCCAGACCGTGAGATACTCCAAAGTGCTACCTAGGTCTCAGCCCCCTAGCTGTGGCTGTGACTTCTCCCCTGACCATCTTCCAAGAGTCACAGGAGTAAGAGATGTCACTCTTCTGCAATGCGGAAAATCTAGGCCACAGAGCCATTTACTGGACACTGACTGTATACTGAGCTCTACACTCGTTCTCTGACTCACTTCCGGGGGGGCCCAGGCTGGCCTGCATCCTTTGTCTGCTGAGGGTGCTCCTGGGGAGTGATGATGCCGGGTCCTGGAGAAAACCCTGAGGGACGATCCCAGTTCCTCACATCTAGTGACCAGGCAGGCACACATCAAGCCTTTTCTTCCAAACGAATGCAAACCAATATTCACTTCCATCTCATTTTGATTCCCTGTAAATTCTGAACTGGCAAGTCTAAATTAATGAGGTTTGTTCTGCTGTGGGAAGGGATCTGACAATTTGACTCTTCTTACTTTGTGGACTGGACCTAGCATTTCAGAAGGGATGGTAAGGCTGAAGTTTACTACTGGAAGGTAATGTCTTTCATGAAAGATGCAAAATCCAACTGTTTAGTAGGGGATCTCTCCCTCTCCACTTCCTTCACAGCTTGTAGGAAATGAAGTCCCTCACTCTGTTACTCTAATTGAATTCCAACTTGGGTAATTACACTATAATTAAATAAATTCTCCCCATAGTTTTAATTCACTGACAAATAGTGCTAGTCAAACAGCCACATTTCACTCCCAGAAACACATCCCCACTCCATTTCAGTGATGAGTGGAGTGATTTGTATTTGGGAGATGTGTGTATGAAAAATGCACAGCTCATAAAATATTTTAGGTATCATTCACGATTACATATGCTTTTCTCAGCATGAGATGACATTAATTTCTATTATCATCTTTCATCTAATTTCTCATACGCTGGGTGCCAAAAGAAATAAGACGGTTAATTAGCATTTCTTATTTTTAGAACTTGTTTTTGCTTAGTTTACCAGTAGCTTGTGTTTTTTATTTCTAAAGCACATTTCATCATCCCTGGGAGACAGACTGGGGGAGGTGTTATTGCTTCCCATTCTACAGATGAAAAAGTTACGGCAGCATTCCCTCCAAGTGAGGAAGCCAGTTACTGTCAGTACCAGCACTGAAAACTAAGCTTCGTCTGGTCCCCTGGTCCAAGGCTCTATCAAACACTGGGTCACTAGCAATCACTTCAGTTTTACTAATGAGAAAATACTGCAGCACATTTGTGACCTAGGTCACAGGTCATTCACTTGTCATAATTAATGATTTAGCCCAGGAGTCAGAGGCCTGAAAACTGGGTTCTGTTGCTGCCCTCGGGTCATGAGACCGCGGAGATGCTTTGCGTCTGCATGTTACGACTTGGTACAGTTTTGAACTGAAAGAACAGCTCAAAATGTGATGCAAAGTGGTGCCAAAGGATTCCAACTTCAATTTTACTCTAATGACCTTTCCTAACGGGTGGTGGATGGCTTTTAATAAAAGATATTAAAAACAACATCAAAATACTCACAAACAGCAGCAGTAGCAGGGGTGTGACAACGATGCCCTGGAAGAAAGAAAAGAGATGATGATCATTTATCTGCCTGGAAAGCAGGACACTTTCTTTGCCGTTTTAAACTCTGATGCATGGAAACGCTTATCCTGCTCATTTCTGTTTGACAAAATCTAGGAGCTAAAGAAGAGGGAGCCCCAGTCTCGTCTCTCCCGACCGTGAGCCTTAGCATCTCCAGGATGACTGTTCGTATCTGGCATCATTAAAAGTACAACCACCAATCTTCCTTAAACTCGACTTCCCTTTTTTCAACCTAAGTTCCCTTCCACGTTGCATATGTATCACTGGGGTGGAAGCTGGCAAGCTTTCTCACTCCAAGGCTTTCAACTCTAACTTGGATAAAGTGCCCCTTTTCAAGAGAAGACAGGTGGTTTCGTCCCAGTTGGGGTCCCCTCCTGAGCAAAGACCACGTCAGCTGTGATGAATGAGATGCCGTGACTTTGTAATGTGAACTGATCTCCCCGAGGAAATGAGCTGGGATCTCAAAACTCATTTCACTTGATTAGACTCCACGTCTCGGTGGTGGAAGGCAAGCCTTTCATCTAATTCAGCCACACAGGACCACCTCCGTCCCTCTGCCTCCCCTAGGCAGAAAGGAGCAAAAGATTTGTTTTCTTCAATGACAGGGAACAGTCTGAGGCTGTTGTGATGAGGCAGGATACAAGCTTTTAGGTTTCTTGAAGGTAAATCTTTGAAACGAGGTGTTTGAGTTGGGAGTTGACGTGATAGGTTTCAGTTTTTGAGCCGCAGCTGATTATTCGTCCCTCTTAGTTGTCCCTTTATCTCTCAACACTTCATTATGATTTATATAAGAAAAAGCATTTCATATTTTTATTAATGGATTCTACTTGGAACTTGAAAATTCCGAAGCGTCTGCGTGTGTGTGTGCGCGTGTGAGAGAGAGACAAGACAGAGACAGACAGACAGACAGACAGAGGCCATACCGTGCCCAGGATCCAGGTCTGGGACCACTCCATTACTCCTGGGAAAAAGTCCTTTTGGTATTAACATATGGAAGCCCTTTTGTCATTAGTAACTAAATTCTTTCGGATGCGGCCCAGAGGGGATGTTTACCTTACATGAACATTGCTACCATAACTTTCTTAGGCATATACACATGTGAATATCCACACAGACTCGTTCTCTTGTTAAATAATAGAATAAACACTTCTTTATTGTGCAAACTTTTGCAATTGTCAATAGGGAATACAACATTTTAATTTAAGTGATATATTTTACAGTCCGTTTATTAAAACATGGATTGTGGCTTACCAACTCCACTGGTGCCTGCGAAGCAAGTTCTCATCAGCACCACTGAGGAGCGCTCCATGTGCAAAATGCCAAAATAATTTTGAAGAGCTACTATCCTTCAATGACATGGAATCTACTCGGACTCCAGGAGGAACTCTGAACTTTGCAAGGCCGTGTGGAAATGGAAATATCTGGCTGTTTCAGGCTATGTGGGATCCATCCGATTTCAAGTCAATTTGTTTAAATGTTTATCGAACAGCCACTTACATGCCAGGCACGGTTCCAATTAATCAGAAGAAATCATGAAAACTGATCTCGCAGACAGGGGGTGAGGATATTTGAGGAAGAGGGCAGGGCATTTGTATAAAAAGTTGAACAGGACAGGAAGAAAAGTATGAAGTGGAGGATTCAGAGAGCAGGTCATCAAAAGTCTTGTAAGCCAGGAAGGGGAACTTGGAGCTGGTCCTTTCAGTAGTAAACTATTAAAGAACTTAAAGTGAGGGTATAATGGTTAGTAGATAATTTAGCATATGGAGAATGGATGTGCCTTTGCCCATAACGTAGTGAGTTTTACCTTTGTTATCTATCAGTTCACCCAAATTCAGGTAAAAGAACATGGAAACTTGCATTAGTGTTAATTATGGAATATCGATAGAACTAATAACACGTCTGAGAAGCAAAGTACGATATCTGTGACAGGATGAGAATTTTCAGCCCGGAAGAAGGCTGAGCGTTGTCACCACTCT